AACCAAGGTCAGCATTACACTGATGGCTCCTGAGATCAGTGATTGACATAATAGGAGGTAGACAGACCAGGTGCTATATTCAAATTCAGCAGTAGAAACTAGCTAGCTTCCACACACTATCAATTTATACAGAGTATGCCACACTCTGAATTAAACATCTCTCAATTCTATGAAGGTTGTGACCAGATTAAGAGGTCTATTTTCCCCCATGGAGTCCTGCTGACATAGTGAGTATGCATTGGGTTCCTACTGCAAGGTCAGCAGTTCAAAACCACGAGCTGCTCCCTGAAAGAAAGAGCATGCTTTCTACTCCCTTGAGAGTTATAGTCTTAGAAACCCACAAGGGCAGTTCTACCCTGCTCCATAGCATCTCTATAAATTGGAATTATAACTCAATGGCAGTGAAGTTTATTGTTTATTCTCTCCACAACTGGTTGGCTGCTTAATAGAAAATCCAATCATGGAATTGCCTATACCATGTTAGATCACATAACGGAAGAATTCTGGCCCACCCAAGTTGATATAAAGCCTATCAATATAATCACAATAAATTTAGCACTGAATAATATATGGAACAAAGAAAATAACAGTATTAAAAAATATAGAAAACAAAATAAGATAGTACATTCATACCTGTTGATATTTACACTGAATTATTAATGGTTTAAATAACCAGTCAAAGGATGTAGTAGAATATATAATAAAACATCACATGATTATGTTGTCTATAAAAGACATAGCTTAGAAGTAAGGAGAAAAAGATAAAAATAAAAGTAGAAAAACTATAACAAGCAAATAGAAGCAAAAAGGACCAGGAATGAAAATATTAATTTTTGATGAGATAGATTTTAGTGACTACCGAGTCAAATTAACAGGCAGACATAACCAATACTTCCTTGAACAATTGGGAATAGAAACATCATATGCGCCAGTGGTCTGGCATATGCCCTAAAGAAACAAGGAACAAGGTGCGATGAGCAGATACATACAGACCCATGCTTGTTGCAGCACTATTCGTAATAGTGCACGACTATGAAAATAAAATGCCCATCAGTGGAAGAATGGGTGCATTGTGGTACATTCACACAAAGGAATACCACATATTACTAAACAATAATGATAAAACTGTGAAACACCTCACGACATGGATGGATCTGGAGACCACTATGCTTACTGACATTAGTCAAACAAAAATAAAAATCCTGTATGAGACAAGTATTACGTAAAAGTTAGGATAAAGGTTATGATGTCAAAATGAACATATTTTGATGGTGACCAGGATTGGGGAGGCAGGAAAGACTGTGGAAGTAACAGGACAGAGAGCAGACAGTGGTAGCTTCATGAAGGGGAAGATAACATCTGACAAAAGAGGGATGGGAAGGGTGGGAGCAGGGAAAGCTCTTGGGAGGGTCGATA